TAGATTTAAGCAAAACAGACAATTATATTTTATTGTAAAACCTGATAAGATCGTGAAATCGAAAGTGAAAGCATCCGAAGTCCAGCTTATAACATGGCAAAAGAGGAACTCCGTTCACAAAATTCAAATCACAAATGATACTACTGATGAAAAAGAACGGGTTGAATGTTAACTATTTTCGTTTCCATATAACTACAAACTACGATAACAGTTAATCAGCATGCATTGATTAATAGCAATGTTGTGGTGCAAAAAAATAAAAACAGTGCTCGTGCAACCAACTGAGAAAGTTAATCGCAAAAGAGCGACCAGTGGGAAGAATGAGTCTGGAGCCCTGAATTGCCCAGCTCCCTCTGTCAATGATCTAGCTCTCCCTCAGCACCTGCGTTCAAAATTATCTGGCGCCACCCCTGGTACATCAATGTATTTTTGAAAAGCAAAAATTAAGTTTGTCCAACTCTAAACCCAGTCCCCAAGTAAATTAGGTTATTAAATAAAAAAAACTAGCAAAACGAGTTGCGCGATGTCCCCACCACTTTTCAAAGCAAAGTTACACCACTGTCACCAGCTTACGATTACAGTTCAAATTTGAAAGCAACAATGAAATCTGACAACAACTTTCTCATAAATGTTATTTCTTATGCTCAATTTGCTTTTAAAAAAAGTGCTTATTTTTCAGGCTAGACCAGCCAATGTGCACGTGCAGTTGTGCTGAGTTTGAGACATGGTCAGATGTGGGAACATTTAAGTTGAAATGTCCCACTTCCAACCTCAATGATTTCCAGTCATTCACCCGTCACATCATCATGCAGACCTCATGATGTCGCCACGACACAAAGAGAGCATTACGTGTTTTTGTATCAATTATGGCAAAAACAGAAAATAATTAGCATAAAACTTTGCTTTTAGTTTTGCAAACAGCTGAGGAAAGATAACCATTTGTATAACCACAGTTTTACTACAAATATGTGGGATTACAAATTTAAGAATCTGTTTAAGATCTGATGATTCTACATCCTGACATAATAATAATAATAATAATAATAATAATATATGAAAAACTAAGGTGATCTTCATTGTATTGGGCATTCAAGGTGAACATGATGGCATCTGTTTACTGATTAAATTCAATGTAGTTTCCAGTGAGCGGGTCTGCAAGTCTCTGATCTTCCTACTGAGAGTTAATTACATGTGAATGTTTAAACATCTTAGGTTCTCGTGGCCAGGTGCAGCTTAAACCATTTGGGTACTGTTATCTTTGGGGAGTAGGTTTGCTGAAGCTCACAGTCGGGGTTAATTTGTGGTTAATGGTTTAACTGGTAACCATGGTTTTTGTTTTTATTTGTATTAAATCCCTGGTTAATTTTGTAAGGGGTGAAAGGGGCATAAAACTAAACGCATAGAATTATAGAGCTATAGAATTGATCTTAACACACATACAGCTTTAAAGAAATAATCATTACACATTTATAAAATCGCCTTTTTCCTTACCAGTAATTGAGATGTACGTGTCAGCAGGTGTGTCTGGAAGTCGTCCAGTTGGTATGACAGATTTAAAAACTAAAGGTTTTTCCCCTGATGAGAAATAGAGAAGAACAGCAAGATGGAGGAAAAGTCATGAGTCTGGATTGGCTGGAACTATAATGAAATTATTATTATTATTTTTTTATACTTACCTGAAAGTGTAATGTGTGTAATGTTCTATAACAGAAATATAACACAGTGATGTTATTGTGTGCTTTACAGTAAATCTCACCATTCTTAACAGGATTGAGCTCCACATTTTCTCTTTGTAATGGAATCAGCACACCCTCAGACTGAAAGAGAGAGAGAGAGAGAGTTAACTACCTGTGGTGTTTTCTGTTCTTATATTGATCAATATACTAACAAAAGACCAAATCAAATTAAACAAAAAGTGACAGAATTCCCATCAGACGTACCACCACCTTCAGCGGCTTTCTCACTCCATCAGATAAACCATATGCAGAAGCATTCACCTCAATCATGTGACTTCCCAGCGTCATGGGAATAATCACATATGAAACGGCTATGCTGGAGCCTTTGTCAACAGATACTGTTGTTCTGTATTTGCCTTTCTTACTGGCAGAGCTGCAAACATCTTCTGTCTCCATGAACTCCACACGCACCTGGTGAAAACAGGAGAATGAGACTCAAACCGCTTCAATATCCAGAGGAAACTTCCTCCAAAAATGTATTTGATTTGAATATAAAATGTATGATGGAGGAGGACATTTCTGTTTTAGAACAAGACAGTATTCTTCACTTATTTTCAGTTTGTGTCACTAGCAGCACAAAAACCTCAAATGAGTCTCAGGATCCTTGTGCAAAAGGACGTGTTTAATTAAAATTTCATTATAATAGTTTTATCATTCTGTTTAAGTTCAGCAATGAATGGCATGCGATTTATTACAGAATATAGTCCCACAAATTATAGTTTATTTTTTCCTCACGTGTCTCGCCTTTGGTAACAATTCAAAACGGAAACATTTCAAGTGACATGGGAAAAAGACACGGAAAACTTCAGTGAACATCAGAAAAGCAGCGTGCACATTTCTGGTTAAAAATGAAAGGCCATCAACAGACAAACGGGAAGCATCACCATTGAAGTCTGCAGGAAGAGCCAAAGCTAGTCCACAGTTTATTAAACGGTGGCAACCTGTTTAAGTTATGCTTGACTGTGTTGGATTGACTGCTTTGGTGCGTTGCAATGAAAAAAAAAATATTTTGAGTTAAATATATGAGTGTCACAGCAAAGGGTCTGAATACTTAGGACCATGTGATATTTCAGTTTTTCTTTTTTAATAAATCTGCAAAAATGTCAACAATTCTGTGTTTTTCTGTCAATATGGGGTGCTGTGTGTACATTAATGAGGAAAAAAATTAACTTAAATTATTTTAGCAAATGGCTGCAATATAACAAAGAGTGAAAAATTTAAGGGGGTCTGAATACTTTCCGTACCCACTGTATATATAAAATGTCTTGCCCCCCCTGATTCAAGAGTCAAATGTCGCCCATGATTGAGGTCATGTACATAGATTGCGCGATAAGTAGATATATTGATTATTGCGACAGGCCTACGTGAAGTTATAATTACTCAGCACCTGTTACACCGATTGCATTAGAAACTAATTGCTCTTTATCTGTTTATTGTAGAAACATACACATCACAAATCTCACGAGGTATACAAGTATTGTCAGCACATCCAGTGCATCACTACACAGACGAGGATGTATATCTATGGACATCTGCATGTTTAAGTCTGTGTGAAGATTACAACAAGTCCAATCATCTGTCTGCATCGATCCCTTCTTTCAAGTAAACGTTTCCCTGAAACTATTGGGACTTAACCGAACTGAGAATTACCTCACTACAAAATCTCTGCATCTTTGAATCCTGGTTCTTTATATTGATTGTTTATTGTTTGCACAGGCCTACACAGTTTGTGTTTTATTTAATATGAATGTGCATTTCTATACTGGCTCTCCAAGTGTGAGTAATCAGTTCATTTCTGTTTGCTTAAGCAATACATTGAGTGAATCCTAATTCATGACTCTGGCTCTTTACTCCTCTCCTGGTAACTGGACATTAATTAGGTATTCGGCCTTCTAAAGTGATTGGTACCGTAACAGTAATCAGTGCATTGTACAGTCTCTAATACAATCCATCAGGCAGTAATGCAATATTTAGTAACGCGTTATTATAATTTGATTTATTTTTTTAGTAACGGAGTAATTTAACGTATTATAATTTCCAAAATAGTAATTAGCCTAGAGTATAGTTCCAGTTAATTTGACTGGTAAGCACCTGCGAGGTGGACATTACAAATGAAAACAAACACAGCATCTGAAGTCATTTTCACATTATCAGACCGTTTTATAAACATTTGTATTATTTTATGTTTATTGACTGCAGTCAAATATGCAAGACTTCTTGTGCAGTGCTGAAATTTGCGTCATTACGAATGATCTCATTAGAGCACACCAATTGTAGACATTATGAAATATTAATTATGCATATATTAATTTAGTTATAACAGTTCTTTGTGAGATTGTGATGAACTAAGATGTCAGTTTTTTTAGAGATTATTAAGTGAGCACTCTTTGCTGGCATTCTGCCATGCCAAACCATGCCCGCAGCAGCCTACGCTTGCTTTTAGTTAAAAATAACAGTGGTTTGTGAATATTGATGCTTTAATAACAAATATTTTATCTGAAGCGTTTATGTTGGGATGTTGTGGCTAGGCAACACAAAACTTACTTCTTTATGTAAATGTCATGGATGTACAGAAAAGTACAGCTGAGTAAGGCATCTTTAGGTCAATAAAAAGGTGTTTAAAAACGACCATCTCCACAGGTTCTGCCACACAGATGCCTTTGAGGAGGAACACAGACACACAGAAGGATTTAAAGCAGCAGCTCCTGGATGATGATGATGATGATGATGGTGATGATGATGATGGTGATGATGTTCAGAGCATGTATTGTGGGTTTACAGCTTCTCCTTACCAAGTGTTGGTGACAGACTGACAGCCAAGATCTGCCAGGTAGTGATAGAGTCTTTCAGGAAGATCGGTTTTGTGATTGATGTTGTTTCACTGGAATATGAGGAAGAGGCAAGTAAAGATGATAACTTCTAAGTAGGTTAGAACTCTTCTAATGAATGTTTACTATCAGAAGGAGTTAAGTCACGTTTTATAATGTCAAAGAAGCTTTACAGTATAAAACAACAACAAACAGAAGAATCTGTCACTGTCATAAATTTCTTCACCCAGGAATCATTAATTCAGTTACTATAATAAAACGCCTCTACAGCAAATAATGCAGTGGCTTCATTCAGTTAAATAATTCAGGTTCAGCATCTGATAGTATCAAATAGAACTAAATCAAAGATGTTTCGAAGATGAATTAAAGTCTTGAAGGTGAGACAACATGAGGGAGAGTAAATAAAATGTTCTTTTTGGGTGAAATATCCCTTTAACTCACAGCTTGTGTCTAAAAATCTCATACTTGCCCTTTATTGGAAGTGGGTAGATCAACCACCTCCCAAAGCCAACTCTCAGGGAACTGCGTACGGGACACAATCTCTTCAGAGTCTGTTTGATAGTCATCATCATCATCATCATCATCATCACCTTTTTAACAGATAAAATAATTAATTAATGAGGATATAGACCCTTTAGAGCAAATGAACATGTCAGATAATGAAGTCAAATCAAATACAAAAACTGTACAAATTGCTTTAATCAAGAATTAGTTAATATAGAGATAATTAATTTTGTCATTCTTTCCAACAACTATCCACTTGTACTGTTACAGAATTAAGTCCTGTTGACACCAAGACTGCTCGGTGAAAAAATTAGTTAAAAAATCTGCTTAGACCAATGCCAAAAATAAAAATAAAAAAGGCAGATGGGCTGAATAAAAATGTAAATTCACTCTTTGACAGCTGGTGATGCTTACAGACAGAAATAGCCTGGTTAGTCATATTTTATATAACAGCAGTGGCTCTGGGTCTTCACCGTGAGATGGAAGCAGATTAGAATGCTTTTTCAGGGAAAAAATTAAATAAAATTTGAAAACAGATAATGTATACAAATACATCTCATCATTCTCTTCAACGACTACCCACTTTTACTATGATCACAATTACAAAGTATTTTCCAAACTGTTAAACACTGTAGAAAATATTCTTGATTTGAGAAAATTATTTTAATACTGAAACCTCAAGATACGATTTATAAAAAAATAAAAAATAAATAATGCACATAATAAACAAACTGCACAAGCAGCTCCCCTAATGGTTTGAGTTCAATGGTCTGGGTTTTGTCATGCTGCTTTTCTTTTGACATAATTAAAACTTTGTGACAAATTTAATCACATAATGTATTTACTTCGAGCCAGAATCTGCTCCTCCTCTTCGGTCTTCGTGTTCTTGCGGGTTTTCCTCTGGTTGCAGCAGTCCAGGAAGGCCTTGACACACTCTTCACCATCCATGATGTATGTGGCTCTTCGTTCACAGGTGTAGCCGAGTTTATTATCCCTCATCCCATCAACACAGCACTGCTTCAGTTCACCGGAGTAATTACCAGCTGAGAAGACAATGTTCGTGTAGAACAATGAGGGAATAGGAGAACATGATGAGAACTTAATGGGGAGGAGGTCTAATGCTAAGAGTTTAAGTTTAAGAGTTGGATTGTCATGTTAAACATGGCCAAAGTTTCAAAAAACTATTTGGACGTATGATGTATTTGTGTGCCAAATATACACCTTTCGGGTTTGTATAAGTTTCGGAAAGTTTATTTTTTTTGATCATGTCCCTTCATGACGTCATGAAGGGCAGAATTCCTTTTATGAATTCCTTTTAAGAGAGTGCACACACATCAACCAGAGTGAGAACAAGAGCAACCCATCAACGTACTTCATTCAAGTTACGGAAGTCGTCGGCAGCGCTGCACTAGTCGTGCTCTAGAAGAATGTCTCCAAAGAAGTGTGTGAGCGAAAGATAACCTTGTTCAGCTTCCCAAAGAACCCAGTGTTATGTGAACAGTGGATGCAGTAAGTTTTTTCGGGGCAGCAACAGAGTTTTTCGCAAGTGTCCCAGATAGCACACAAGATGTCTGTTAAAGATCGCTTGATTTGGAAAGCATCTGCTGTGTACAAACATCCAATAGACGTCTTTCAGATGGTAGTTTTACATACGTTCTAAATCATAAACATCTTAAAGACATTTCTAAATGTCTATTGGACATCTAATATGAAACGTTCTATAGACGTATTGCAGATGAGCAAGCACTCTAAAAAATACGTCTTGCAGATGTAAATGCAGACGTCAAATAGACGTCTCTGTGATGTATGTGTGCTATCAGGAGTGTTGGTTGTTCCCATCTTTTCGGTGTTGAATGTTTTATAAACAAGGCCCAGTTCAGCGCTGGATTTACACATAGTTTGATACTGAAAGATGGAGCTATCCCAGCGATAAAAGATCCCAGTCATGAGTCAGAAATGCAGGTGGTAAGTTAAACTGCATCAGATTTCTGTGTTTTGCTGGCAATCCGCACGTAAGTGATCGCGACTCTTTAGCTCCGCCCCGTGGCACGCCTCCAGGAGCTTGGCTGTTCTCAGAGAGAAGCGTAAAGACAATTATGTATGTTTTGTGAAAAACAGTAACAAGATGATTGTGCCATAACATCTGAAAAAGATCCTTCACCTGAGTCTGAGTGAGTCTCTTCTTGTTAAGGACTTGCACAGCCTTGTCAACCACCACCAGACCAACTTTAGCTTCAGGATCTCCAGTTATCTGCAGCTTGACCTCTTCTCCTGTGCCATAGATATTCATCTTCTCCTTCTCCTTCTCCTTCTCCTTCTCCACCTTAAGCTGGAGCTGTTATTAAATGAGACACTGAGTCAGACCTAGATGATTGGCACATCAACTGTTTTTTTTGTGATTGTTGACCCACCTTTCCCATGCACGTGTCCTTCACATCGACCCAGACTGAATCAGACACCACCTCAGACGAGCCCACATGGTAATAAGCCACAAAGCGGAAGGACGGCACCATGTCTTTGGTTACAGACACAGGCAGAGTCACTATTGATTGTCCTCTTCGCTTAAACCTGTCTGCTTTTACAATCTGACCTTTACTCAAGATCTGAAAATGAGGCAAAAGTGAAAAGACACTATATTGTTACAAACACAAGCTATGGTAGTTCATCACATAATGACATGATCAGCTGATACATTTCTGGTGCAGCTGAATAAGAAATAACCTTAATCTTTACCATGTAGGTGAAATCTTGATCTCTGACTCCTGGACTTTGTCCAGTGCTCAGACAGACTGTCATTGATTCAACGATCTGAAGCACAGCAGCATCAATGCTGATGTACAGGTAGTTGTTGGAGCCGCCTTTGGTCTTGTAGGCCTGAGCCGTCATCTTCTTCACTGCCTGCTGATTGTCTTCTATTTCTGGATCTTTGGTCTTTGCCTGGAAAGTATAAATACATTGATTTCTGACGTGCTGTGAACAATATGCTCTATTGATTGTTTAACATCTGTTAACTGATCTATTCTCCACAAGATCACCAGTGAAACTGAATGAACATCAGTGCTGTTATGATGGCAGGTCTTACAGTGATGTCCAGTGTTGAAGATCCTCTCTGAGTGTTGACTGTAACCTTCGCAATGCCGTTGTCTCTTGTTCGACCTCTGAACCCTCCAGGATTGACCTCCACTTCCACATTTACAGCAGGTGTTTGGTCAGGATTTGTCACATAAACCTTTTTTAGAAGCCAGACAAAACAACAACAACAAAAACAGTAATTTATGTTAATATATTTATGCAATTGTTTCTACATCCCTTTAGGTTCTTAACTTTCTAGCTAACAATTGCTCTGAACTGTAAATTAATTCTGATTCTGGAAGATATCTGGGATTAGGGATATTGTAACTTTATCGATAAATTACCATTTTATAATGCATGAACATGCTCTTTAATTGGTTGCTTCAGTTTTCACTTGGATCAGCCCGGATTAATTGGGGATGTTGGAGATTAATTGTATTGCTGTGTTTGGGATATTTCTGGGCTGCAACCTTTTGGCCAGTGGGTATGGCATATTTAGCCAGAAAAGCCAATCTGCAAATATTACAATAATTTTCAAAATCGAACATGTAAAATCGGAAACTGTTTTATACCGAGACGTCGAAGGGCATCCCAGGTTTGAAGAAGTGTGGTGTTTTTTTGAAGTGGATGGTGTACGGTGACGTCACGATCTGAATGCCTCTCCTTTCTGCTTCCACCATTTCACTGCCTGAAACACACAAACCATTAGCTTCTCATACAATCACACACGTGCAGGTAAACATGTGCATACAGATCTGTTGAGTCTTACCACTTTCTGTTAATAGACTGACTGAAACATAGATTGATCGTCCAACCAGCTGGTTAATGTTTGGAAAGGTGTCAGTGATCATCTGATTGGTCAGTTCTGCAGTACCCTCTCCTTCCACGATCTATTCATATATGAGACACACAGCAACATCAGTCTACAAGACACAATAAAAAGCTATTTTTATTTAAACTGTCCTCTAGGTGAGGAGAAATGTAATTTTTGGTGTCTAAGTTAATGTCTCTCACCTGAACTTTTTGCAGAGATGCAGAAATACTTGTTTTCTTCTCATCTTCCATCACACCAAACACCACAAACGCATTTCCATCCACCTCCTGTCCAAACAGGTACCTATAAAAGCACATTCAGTTTCTGCTTTATAATCAATAGTGACATTGGTTGTCCCTGATCCAAATCCACATTCATTGTACTGGGATAAAAAAGCAGCTTGGACCTTTTGCATTCCACAGAAGAACAAAAGTTGCTAATTTGTGACCCTGCCTGTGAAAACCCATCTAAAGTATTATTTTGTGATTTACTGTTTTCTACATAAAATCATCTTTCATAAAGATGTAAAGAACATTCTGTGAAAATATAAGCTTTATATCTTTAATATTGACTGGGTAAGGCCATGTCAAAGATTGAAATCATAGTGAAATTAATGGTTGAAATCAAACTTTGATGCTTGTTATCTCATAATTAGATTTTGAGACTTTAGCCTGGATTTCACAGACGGTCACATTTGATCTGATCTGACAAATTTACAGTTGGTCTAACTTAATGGTGGTATTCAATATTCAGTGTCATATTCAGTGATATACAGTATCTGACTAGAATAAAACTAGGTCATTTAAATGTTACTTATGAATAACATTTAGGAATGGCAGGAAAATATTTGGTTGCTGATAGTACATTATTTTGTAGCAGAATATATTTTTGTCTTACTTGGCTTCAATGTCGACTGTCAGACTCTCATCACCCACATAGAAGAAGGACTTCCTGGGCTTTAATTTCACTTCACATGTTGGAAGCACTAAAACCAAACCAGACAAAAGACACACTAATCAGTAAATACATTCTTTGACTTGTTATCATATTCTTACACAACAAGAGTTTGTAGACACAGGTCTTACCATATTCTCTGACCTCAAAGTCTGCAGTAAACTTCTTCTGAGGAGTCTTTGAGAACAGTGTGACCACCTTCCAGATCCCAGAGCTGAAACAAACCGAACACATCCAGAATCATTCACATGTCTGAGACTCTGAGTTCAGGACATTAAAACAGGTGATAACAGACCACGAGCAGCTAGGGTTCTGCTGCTGTTTATCAATACATTATTATTAGATATTGACCTGAAGCAGATGCCATAGACAGATAAAAATTAAGTTTGGTCACTTTACTCAGGTTAAATAGCACCAGTCCTGATAGTGTTTTACACACCTGGCAACATCAGGGATAGCATACTTTCCGGACTGTATTCCTTTTGCTGTAGTTATGTTCTCTGATGAAACTGTGATGCCTTGTGGATTCTTCAGAAACAAGACAGAAATCACTGGGTCTGCTGAGATCATCAAATGCTCATGACAGCTGAAACATCATGAAAGCATGCGTGTGTGTGTGACATAACAGTATGGTGTTATATAAGTGTTTACCTTTATTTCCACTGTGATTTTAGACTCATTGAGTGGTTTCAGGTTGGGCATCAAAGAGAAAATCCTGTAAAGAACTGCACAAAATGTTTTAATGCATTCTTAGTTTTTCTTCTTTTTTTAATGCATTTTAGACTCTTAATTTTTCAAACAAACAATGTAAACATAAAAATCATCAAGTATGAGTTTTCTTAAGTTTGGAGAAAATCGAATTAATCAGGCCCATGGATAGAACGTTATTTTGCATAAAACAGTAAATCTCCGTAATGACATATTGTGTGCTGTAAAAATTAAAATGTACATTATATTATTATGACAGATGAAGATACTGTATAGAAAAAGTACAAGAAGTGGCTCTAGGAGTCACTGTACAGTTTTGTCATATCATTGAACATCAGCCTATCTGACCCAAAGTCTAGGCTGGCCATATGTGCCGTTCATACGGGACACGTCCTGGCCAGGACTTTTATATTGCCTAAAATATCCAAAGTAGTTTGACTAATAGCATGCCGGTATTGTATATAATCGATCAAGCGTGGTGCGTGAGAAGGTGAGATCTACAGAGAACGATCAAAATGGTGCAAATACGCGAGAACGGGTTTGTTTGTTCGTTCGTTCGACTTGAAGCATCGCTGCTCACCGATCATTGAATAACACCAAAGTACCACAAGAGCGATTCGGAAGCATAAGGAGCCATCTCTGCTCTCTATAGCTCTCGTGAATGTCATACAACGATCGATCTGCAGAGTGCAAACAGCCAAAACCTGGATATTTTAGGCAATATAGAAATCCTGGCAAGGAAGCCTCCTGTACATATGACCCGTATGGTCACCCTACCAAAGTCCAAAACAATCTTTATTGTAACTGAGTTTGTCAGTCCATCTGTGGTCAACCTTTCTACCCCTTATTAAAATGATGTAGTATTAATTGATTGATTGATGTTCATTAATGCACTGTAAGTTTTCAGCACTTAATCGTACCTGTGCTAGCAGGTGTGTAGATGGGCTTGTCTGTTTGGACAAATATATATCCAGACTGGAATGAGAGCAGGTCCACTTTCTCCAGAGTGACGGATGGAAACTGAGCTTGTAGATACACATACTGCTTCTCCAGAGGATCGTCAGAGAAATAGCTCTGATTATCAGGGATCTAAATGACAGAAAATTAATTCAATAATTAATTAATTAAGTCAAGTTGCCCCATCAAAAATGTTTAATAAAAGAAAAAGCATTCTACAATTTACAAACTCTTAAAGGTGCAGATTATGAGATGTGAGATATGATTTATTTTGTCAGACAGAGATACAAAGGTTTGGTTAAAGGGAGAAAACAAAACGCTATGGCACAGGTCAAGCACAACTGTCTAGCGCAGTGGTCGCCAACCCGTCGATCGTGATCAACTGGTAGATCTTTATCACTGTCCCAGTAGATCCCGAAAAAAAAAATGTAAAATAAGTACAAAAATGCATTACATTTCTGGGGTTATATTAATGTATCACTGAAGGGAGAAGTTTCGATGGCAATGGCATTTTCTTCTCCTTATAAAGCGCAACTCTGCTTTGTTTACAGCGGTAACCAAGGAAACGCTATATTGCGGTTGGTTCATAAGCAGTGTTGCCAAGTCTGTGGTTTTGGAATTGGGCTACTTAACACTGTTGCCGCGGGTTGAAGCGACCCCAATAACGTGATATTTAGTCCCTGGAATGTGAATTTTACTGGAAGATCCCGCCGAAAAAACTTGTATTTTACCCCCGAATGCAAAGAGTGTGTCTCATTCAGACCTGCTGTTTTTGTTTTGTGCAGATGTTTTATGTAGCAAATAAATAACACCTAAAGTCAGACCATTCTGTTTTTGTTTTAAATCCTGAAATTAATCTAAATCAAATCAAAAACAACTGCCCATGCAGATCATGATTAAAATGCAGTGGTTGCCTCTAATTTCAAATGGCTAGATATTTTTGTTTAAAGCCAGTTTGTTTGTTATAAAGCAAATAGCCAATAAAACAATTTGCTTAAAAATCAGTGTCAGTATCAGAATCCAATTTGCTAGTTAAAAAAAAAAAAAGAAAGAAAGAAAGAAAATCTGAATTCTGAATCAGGTATGATCGGAGCATCACTAATTAAAATACTAAGTAAAAGGCCTCAAATTTGAAGTACAATCTGGGATGTCTTTTTCTATCAATTCTTCATTAGGTAGATCTTGTCTTTCAAAAACTACATTTACGCTCCTAATTCTTACTCAGTATGTCATTATAATACAACTTAACGACTCCCTGGTAAAAACATCACTAAACATGATTTACAATTAATTTAACATGCAATGTTCATTTAAACACTTTTTGGAGATTTGTAACATTTAATGTAAAAAATACATTGTTGCCACCAAAACAGGAATTGTATTTAAATTCTCATCATTTTTATTATTATCATTAAAACGGACAAAAAATAATGAGTAAATGTAGCTACCTTAATATGCTTCCTTACATTCGACGGCAAATTTTTGAAGCCAGAAATTTCCCAAATTATAACTGAAGCAGAAACGCATGTGCTTAAATTGCATGCTTCCATTTACCATATATACTATGCAGAAGATTTAAAAAAAATACAAATATGTAATGAGTACTTTTCAAGTTGAAATAAAATGGTATGGAGTAAAAAGTATTTTTTTCTCCTTCAGAAATGTAATCAAGTAAAAGTACAAGTATTTTACACCCCTGAAGATGATGCCTATGTACATTTGATTGAATTGCTTAGAACAAAGACTTTTATATTGAAAGGGACTAAAAAAAGGTTGTAAATAAGAACATTATTTTTACTTTCAACAACACCTTGTAAGACATAAGCAGCATTGTCACAGGAAATCCCCTTAAAAGCTGAAAAGATATTATGACAAAGATATGACTTTCCTCAGCGGACATTCAAACTAATGTTTTATTGTGAATATGAGATTGAGCTGAAGAATGAATGCTGTATCAGATGCAGGTAATCACACTCACTCAGTCCATCTCTCTCTCACAATACTCAACTCCACATAATACAGTGATACAATAAGCTTTCAATAAAGCAACTCAACGTTCCTTATTTCTAAAGTGACGTTTTCGAATTAGTAATGGGGCTTGAGTTCAGCTGTTAAACTGTCAAACTGAGATTTGAACTCAGGCGCAAATAAGTAGTTCTGCATACAAAAGGGTTATTTAAGACACTCTGTGTGTTTTTATTTACTTATTTGTGCCATCAAGCTGTTGTATAAATACAATTTCATACTCATTGCTATGTGATATCGCTCTATATCAGTATGGCTGTGATTCATATCCAATATTCATATTAAAATCAATATCATATAAGGAAGAATAGCAAATACATACATAAGGCATGCAATTACATACGTTGAGAGGCAGGAAGAACAGCCTATCGTAGTCCTCTGACCGAGGGATATGATTGGACGAACACTTTATGGTCCTACGCCTTCCACAGATAATATAAATACATATAAATACATTTAGACTATTTAACCTAGTGATTACTATCGGGATGTGAAGAAACTTTCAACCAGCATAACAAAAACATGTTTTGAACCAATTCACCTACCCTGCCTTATTGGCTTGTTTAGACAAGCCTTCCATAAAAAAAGCCCTGAAAAGAAATTAAAGAACACATATTATACAGACACTTCACATGTAATGGTATATGATGATTTGTTTGCATTTAATATATACTTTCAATAAAACTTTTGCAATGAGTTTTTGTTGTATTTACACAATTTTGACCAGTGGGCATAATCGATGTGTGGTGTTTGGAGTGCTTCAAAACACTGAATCATTTTGCAAAAGCAATTGGTTCAGTTAGGTTAGTTACTTCAATGACTAACACTGCAAAGTAAAGTAGAGTCACCTTATATCCACCTTTTTTTTACACCCCATGAAGCTTTGTGTGAGTCATGTGAGTAGCTTCCAACAGTCAGTAAAAGGTGTGCTCTATGAACGCAATAATTTTGACCAATAACAAATATATTTACCTGATTTACCTCAAGTAACCACTCCTAATATGGATTAGAAGGTATAAGGGGAGAAAATTACATTTGAACACATCCGTGTCACACTGACGGATAAGGATTGTCTGTCATAAGGATCCCATATTTTAAAATGCAGAAAGCACGTTGGGAAAAATGTGGATAGACTACGGTCTAAGACACTTACAAGCCTTCATTTTACGGTTAAGACATCGTGATATTCACAAACCTTGGTAATTCCAGCAACTTTTAATTCTCAACTCATTTAAACACCCTAATAACTTAATGTTTAAAATGCAGAGCTGCTTGGTGAATTATTATATTATTATATTAAGGGGCCGTTGAATGCTTGAATCTGATTGGTTGATGAACGTTCTAAGGTGTGCAATTATTTTCAGGGAAACGCACGGCTAATGTAGTTCCAGCTAGGTCTCGACCACAATTCATGTCCAAATCACTTTGCCAACTGATTTCAGTTATTTCAATGGTCCTTACAGCCTAAAACAGCACAATAACCAAAACCCACAGCAAAACTGGTCAAGCAAATACATATAGTAAACAATATGATAAAAAATGACAAATGATTTCTCTGTTTTTAAACTAAATTATGTTGTATTATGTACGGAAAGCACATACTGTATTCTCTTTCTCCTGCTCTCCCACACAAACGCACACATATACACTGACACACACTCACACAAACGCACACATATACACTGACACACACACGGAAACATACACACACACACAGAAACGTGTTACCAGCGCTGCTCTAACCATTTAATCAGTAAAATAGTTTAGCAACTTAGTACTTATTTTATTAACATGACATTTCTCACTAGCGAGGTAATAACGGTGCTGTTCTTAAAAGAGATGCATTTACAGTTTCACTATTAGTAGAGATTTCTGCCGAACACTCTCTCTCTCTCTCTCTCTCTCTCTCGCTCTCCAATAGCTTCATTATTAACTGCATTAGTCTGCTAGGTCTAACACAACGTTTCAGAAGCGTTGGATGAGATGCGTAAGAAATCAATCCGACACACAAGAGCATTTTAAGGACAAAAACCCGACGAATGTCTTGCAATACAACATCTGAACCATATTTGAGGTGTGGTAACCGTAGTTTAAGCAGAATACTTGACTCTGATCCTTTGAATTAGGCATATTAGAAAATAATACACAACGGTGCTGTGGCCGCATCACCACCTCGGTGTGCATTATTTTCTAATAATTCAACAGCCCGCTGTCAATTTTTCCTTACACAGACACCTTTATAGCTATTCATCTATGGAGAGTCTCCAGGGACTCTGTGGGCATGTCTGAGACGGTTTGGAGGACCTTTTTAGTTGTATCTTCAGACTCCAGTGATATTATAAAATGTATGGCTAATATTCTAATATTGAGTCAAATGATGGCTCCATATGCATCCACAGAGGTCTCGGCTAAAGCCCTGAATAACAGCTGAGCCTAGAACCGCCGCTGCTATACACTTTACAGCACTTTACATTTTACAGATTAGGTTAAAGTGTCAAAGTGGCGTCACCTTTATATCTGTAAGGATCTGGAAATTATTTTCTGAAGTCAGTGTCACTGATTGAGACAGTATCTCCCGGCTCTTCTTTGGGTGGTTTTTAACTATGATCTTCACATTCATGTTTCCTCCAGAGTAATCCTGAGCCTCCACAAACAGGTTCTCTGAGGAACCCACCCTCAGCAGATTAGGAGCCGACAGAACAAACCTGAGGAGATCAAATCAGAGCGTTTGAGAACAGATCTGTTAGTGAATCCATGAACAAACAGTGTGTTTGATACTCACAGCGGGTCACATAGTGTGAGGAGCGGTGAGGAGAGCAGAACAACAGTCAGAAACAGCAGCTTCACCTCCATCCTGACTGTCTGTGTGTGTCTTCCTGTGAGCGTCTGTGAAGCTGCAGCAGCTCCGATTTATACCCGCCTCCACCACCCTCAGAGTCCAAACTCCTCACTGTTGCTCTCTTTTTTTTTGCATTTCCTAATGTTTGGAATCACCAACACACTTTTTTTTTTTTTTATAATATGATGCTTCAGTTCACCAATGTATAATTTAAAAATTGCAAGTAATATTTAAGTAACAAATAACTATTTCTATGTTCATATATTTTATAGACAGTTTTGTGAATCAAACAGGAGATTCATATAGATCTCATAAAGATTTGAAGAGTTCACGGCAGTCCATTTCAGATTTCCCGTAAATGACCTGCAAAAACCGGTTGAGTAAATTCAACCTTTGGTAAATTGGCAGCTGCTCTGTTGATCTTGTAGGGGTCAAAAGAAAGGTTTCTTTCTTAATTTACATTGTTACAGCGCTTGTTTTCATCCTCAGTCTGAAAGCTCTTTTTTAGCAGTCTGTTTTGAGTGGTCTACCTGATCAACCCGAACCACCGACTTCTGCAGGATGTTTTACAGTAGTAGTAATTACTGATTGTATACCTCTCTTACAGTGCAGATGTGATAACTGTGTCATGTTTCTACATCACAGCAAAAAACAATGTCCATTAATGTACTGAACTGCATTGACTCAACAGTTAAAAATCCAAATTCAGAATATCCTGTCTGTAGTTCAGGACTAGCAGTGCAAAATTCAAACCACTTGTGAGCTGTGATGAGATCTGTGAATGAGGCCACATTAGAAAGATGAAATCTGTATCACCATTAATAAATAACCACCATCACCTGATCACATTTGATTTTGGTTTCCTTTGCAACAAATAATGTGCTTTCTAAACACACGGTTACAAAGACCACGGAAAACATAAAACGTAGCTAAAGAGTCAAGAGCCCAATGAAAGCAAACTCTATTCATTATGATGGTGACTTCAAACCAAACTATTATTTGTATTAAAACTTCCAAACATCTACACCTGTTAATTCTCAATAAGAAATTGTGTGCATGCATTAAAGAAGACAAAAATAAATTCATGTTTGTAACGAGTGAAGCTGGTACTGCTGTTTTTGTTGTTTAATCCTCCTCTGAGATCTTGAGAGGTTTAATGTATTCTATTGCCAGTTGATTTCACCTAAGGCTGTGGTTGTATGTTGTAGTCACTGTGTTTCTGTTTTTCCTGTCCTTGTTGCTTCTCTTTTTTTCAGTGATTCTGCTTGTTAACAGCAGGTGTCTTCAATAATGCATTAATAATCACTCGATTAATCACTTAATTATCTCATTAACTCTAATGTTGATTCAGTGTTTTTTTAACACTCTGTAGTGTGCATTTCATTAACTCATCTGGGCTGTCTCATGTGGGGCCCTCACAGAAACTGAGGCTAAACCTGTCTGGGCCCCAGTTAGTTCACCTACCCACTTAAAATAGTTGAGCTAAAAATTACCCAACAGATAACCCAATGGTGGGTTACTAGCACCTACCTAATGTTGGGTTATTTTAACCCAATGGATTGGGAAGTAAGTTAGTAACCCAATGCATTGGTTTATAAAATAACTAATTTGTTGGGTTATTTGGCCAAAATGCTGCTTTAACCATCCTGGTATTATTAGTAGTAGTAGTAGTATTGCTATGTAAATAATAATATACAGCATACAAATATTTTGAAAATACTTTATTTATATTCCATTTAAAGTTGCAAAAACTTCTATTAAATTAAATAATTGGTTGAAATTGTCTTATTAATCACTTTCTTATCACATTAGGTTACTTGCAGTTGTTTCAGTTTACAAGATAAATATAAATTCACAAATAAACAAACAGAACAAAGTTAGTACAGACAGTGTAATTACAGCTGAAACAGGCTTGGGATACTCAATGTTCAAAATGTAAAATAATCTAAACCAGTGATCCTCAAATCTGGCTCGCGAGATCCACTTTCCTGCAGAGTTTAGCTCTATACCCTAATCCAGGGATCCCCAAATCTGGCCCACGAGATCCACTTTCCTGCAGAGTTTAGCTCTAACCCTAATCAAACACACCTGAGCATGCTAATCAATGTCTTCAGGATCATTAGAAAATCACAGGTAGCTGAGTTTGATCAGGGTTGGAGCAAAACTCTGCAGCGCATTGGACCTCCAGGGTAAGATTTGAGGAACCCTGCCCTAATCAAACACACCTGAGTTTGCTAATCAATGTCTTCAGGATCATTAGAAAAACACAGGTAGGTTTGTTTGATTATAGGGTTGGAGCTAAACTCTGCAGGAAAGTGGATCTCGCCAGCCAGATTTGAGGATCACTGATCTAAACCATGTATCAACTGCTTGTAAAAAGACGGTCTTGCTTCAGTGCCATTTTCCCCACAATAATGAAGGATGGATTGTATCCCAAAACTGCAGAACATGAGGATATTGCCTTTGTTGCTCCTCCTCCCCCTCCAAATACAGAAGGAAATTTGTTCCAACCTTTAAACAGAAATTTAAAATGGTAAATATGTATACATATGATTAAATAATACCCACAAATGTAATGATGCACTTATCCACTTTGTATGGCAATGAAGGAGGACGTTAGGGTTTTGATGCAACTTTAATGTAATCTCCAAAGACCATCTTAAATGGAAAGAACAATGGATTAATCACCGAACATGAATGGGGAAAATAAGGGGAAAAAATACACACTATTTTAAGCCATGGTAGCAGTCTTTCATTTGACTTCTTACTGTTGTAATAATGGATTAATGTCTGTTATATATCAATTTGATTAGCCAAGTGTTACAAAAGTGGTGTTTGTATCATTATAGACAGGTGTGGGGATTTTTGAACTCCTTCTGCATGTTACATTATTATGATAGTGGGTGGTAATGACAGTGTGTCAGTGACATATAGAATGGAATTTAAGTTATGTAAAAACTATATATCACACTTGTAATCATGCTGTTAGACTCTATATCAGCAGGCTGTGGTTATCTGAGGTCTCATACCTGATCTAGATTGATCTAGAGTCTAATGCAAAATTCACATTACAAAGATGGCACAGATGCACTTCTGAAAGTAGTCTTTACATACTGTTTAATGCTGCAATGCTATACAGAGAATTTTCAGCAGGCACAAGCAGCCTTAACTCAGCTATTTAAGGACGCCTTCACAGTGCTCTTATTTGTGTGATTTTTCTCAAAGGGATAGTTCACCCAAAAATTAGTTCACCCAAAAATGAGAACAACTTTTCTCATCATTTACTCACCCTCAAGTTGTTCCAAACTGGTATGAGTTTCTACCGTAGAAAGTAGATTTTGAAGAATGTGTATGTATTCATACTATGAAAGTAAAATATATTTTGTGTACATTGAAAAAAAAACTCATGGAGATGTGGAATAACATAAAGAGATAATTCACCCAAAACTGAAACTTTTTTTATCACTTAAGGGCTGGTTTTACTAACAGCTGGCACCAGCGCAAACCGTCTTTTGGTGGTAAAATAGTACTGTCAGCTTTTACTAAAGACGCACAGTGAAGAATTAGCACTGAAAAGACGTGGATATTTATTTTTGCGCCTGATCGTACTGAATATGCATTTGCAGGAGTTTCCCTTTCAGATGCCAAATTTATAGGAGGAGAGTATTCAGATGAATCACGCAATACGTTTTACTAACGTTTGCGCTCATCAAATTACTGGCATTTGCGCCATTATTTGATGCCCCAAAAAAGCAGCTGAGCAGCGGAGCTAGAAAAGCACAACACATGACGTGTCCTGTTGACTGACTCCGCCAACGAATGGGAACGGCAGCGTAATCTGAAAGGAAGTGAGGTAATTGTATTTAAGGAGTAATAAAGAGTGGATTTGGGAAGGAAGGAGGACGACGGTGATTGCAAATATCTGTGATAAAAAGACAGGCAGGGTTATCCATGAGTGCACACTTTGTATGGTGCTGGGCGATCGATTCAGTGTTCTGAGGAACGATTTCTCAGTCCAGACTGAGGATACCAGTGCTGAGTGTGTTCGGATGCGGGAGCTAAAGTGGGTGTTGCCCAGATACCTTCCTTCAAAGCCTCCAATTCATCTTTCAAAGCTGAGTTCCAAGCCGACTTCTGGGGTAGTAGCGGCTCATCTGTACGGCTGGTTAGCTGGCTTCGTCTGCGCACATACACACCACTCGCTCTTGCCCCTTTCGTCACACACCTTCATTGTCCTTTGGTGTGTGAGTATATAATTTGTTTTTATTTTTCTATTATAAGCTGATCAGTTTCCTATATAAATCTTGTTTGTATATATATATTTATTTTCCCTTTTTCTTTTGTGGTTATATCCATTGAGAACTGGACTCTTGAACCTATCAAATTGACTGCGGGAATAGAGTGGACCGGCATCACCCAATATCCGAAACTCTTAGATCTCTTTGACAAGGTGTAAAGGAGTACCAGTGATGTAATGATTTTTTTTGGACAACTGTGCTTTGCGTATATGAAAATATAATAGGATTTTGAATTAAAACCCTTGATTTCTTGTGCAGTTATTCATTTTTTATTTTTTTGTGGTTGTTAAAAACTGTAAACTTATTTTGGTTTGTAACCGGTGGCTTTTAGAGCTCATCTGGGTTTATATAAATATTGACAGGCTGACTCCTGTCTGGCGCCCGAACACTTTAATTTAGTTATTTAAATATTGATTTAAACTGCTTTCTGGGGCCCACCACCATTACAAACGTTAGAAATTGTGTAATATCCAGCATCCTGTTCAGACCCTATTTTATAGTACATACAAACAGTATTAATTTGATTTAACAAGAACGGTTATTATGTGACTATACCTTGAAACCGGTAATGGTGTATTTTGATAATTGATGATAATAATGCTCTGCTCTCTTCCATGTTCAGTTCTTCATGTCTGAAGTAGCGGCGCGTGTAATCAGTGTAGGTCACAGCACCCTCTGTCGGTGAAAAAGAATCACTGCATGATTGCTCTGGTAACCAGCAACTTTCCAGAGATAAAGTGTTTCATTTCTGTGTGTTTCGAAGTGTTTTAATT